CATCAGTCCTTCCAATGAATATTCAGGGTTGATTTCCTTTAGGATTGACTGGTTTGATCTCCTTGCTCTCCAAGGGACTCTAAAGAGTCTTCTCCAACACCACAGTTCAAATGCATCACCCCATATATATTCAACAAATGTATGAGATGTGAGCTCTTCATGACACAATGTGAGCAGTCATAATAGTCAACTGCTTTAATAGTGACATTCCGAACATATGGAGATGGGGTTTACATGTAAATAAGGGCTATCAGGGACACAGAGTTGTTAATGATAGAGTTCATTTAAGTGTATTTATGGGTTTTAGATTGTGATAGATCTGGGCTTGAATCATGGAACTGACACTAGGTATGGAACCTTAGGAAAGCTATTTAAGTCCTTTGAGATTTTGCTTCTTCAACCTCAAAGAGAGGCTTTGTGAGAATGAAACTGAAAGGGTGGTTATTAGGATTAAACAAAATAATGTTCTCAATGGCAAAGCATTGGTGTGCTGTAACATCTTCCCCTTCTCAATTTCTGCTTTGCATTGCATGACTCAGAATTGCTGCCCACAGGGAATCATAATGAAATCTTAATTAATCATCAATTTTGGCACCATAGGCTTCCAGCAACGTTCTTGAATGAGAGAGCTCTGGCTGTTTCATCCAAGGAGGACACAATCAGCAGTCCATTTGTGTGGTATTATACCCTTAGACCCTCCCACCCTCCTACAGAGCTGTGGAGGTGACATGAAATTATAATGTAAAGCACTCAACACAGTCCTTGGCCATCGTTGCAGGCAGATGCTTTACCCTCGGAGCCATCAGGGAAGCCCTGTTCATCCTTATAGAATGCTAATTTTTATTATTTTTACTCTTCTGTAGCTTTTGGAAAAGTTTTATAGGAATGCATGTGTATTAACTGGGCTTCCCTGGTTGTTTAGAGGTAAAGAATCCACATGCAGGGCAGGAGATACCTCTTGTACAGGAGACACAGGTTCAGTCCTTGGGTCAGGATCTCCTGCAGAAGGAAATGGCAACTCACTCCAGAATTCTTGTCTGGGAAATCCCACAGACAGAGGAGCCTGGCAGGCTACAATCCATGGGGTTGCAAAAGAGTAAGACATGACTCAGTGGCTGAACAAAAAAAACAGTATATATTAATTATGCTATGATAAAGTAAAAAAGAAAACAAAACTATATGAGCAATAGTGACTTGTTTTTTGTTGATACTGATAGTGAGTTGAGGATCTTTCTTCCTTGACTCTGGATATTGGGCAATTATTGAATGTGAACTGAGTACTGTGACACTTAAGATTTATGGTTTTTTTTTTGACTAGGCTACCTTGTTATTCAATCAAACTCTAAAACTACCGCATGAAAATAGATGGCTAGTGGAAAGCCACTGTATAACACAGGGGGCTCAACTTGGTGCTCTATGATGACCTAGAGGGGTGGGAAGGAGGCTCAAGAGGGAGGGGATATATGTATACTTACAGCTGATTCATGTTACTGTACAGCAGAAATGAATACAACATTGTGAAGCAATTATACTCCAATTAAAAAAAAAAACCCTAATCTAGGTGTTGCTATGATGGTATTCTGTAGGAGTGGTTAGCATCTACAGTCAGTTCACTTTAAAGAGATGATCCTCAGTAACGTAAGTGGGTCTCATCTGATCAGTTGAGTGGACTTAAGTGCAAAACTGAGGTTTCCCTGAGGAAGAAGAAATTTTATCTCGAGATTACTGAATCTTAGCTCCTGCTTGAGAGTTTCTAGATTAAGAGCCTACCCTACAAATTCTGGACTTGCCACCCTCACAAACTCATAAGCCAATTCCTTGAAGTAAATCCATGTGTACGTGTATGTGTATGTGTACATGTATGTGTACATGTACGTGTATGTGTACAGGTATACATATGTATATGTGTATGTGTGTGTACTCCTTACTGATTCTGTTTCTCTAGAAAATGCTGACTGATAAAGGTACATACAAAGGCTCATTTATTCTTCTTTTTCTTTTGTCAGTAATTCTTTATGATGCTTCATTTGCAGGATGCAGTTTTACTAAAACGAAACTTGAGCAGCTCCAAACTACATAGTCCATTTCTTTTGGCCTCACAATTTCTGTTTTGGCCTGAGCCAGGCAACCTGACCCTGGAAGCGGAAGATCGCATCTGGCATAGCCTACCCATGAGTCCATGGGGCACAGCACCTGGGTTCTGGGGGGACAATAGAATGGACATAAACACCAAGAGGATAATTTATCTCTAAAAATACAGATAAATCAAGAGTGTACACAGTGGCCATTGGTTGGTTTTGCTACTCTCTGGGTATGAATTCAGAGCGTAACTAGGATATAAAAGTTCTGTTGTCTAAGAGAAAATATATTTATTCAATGATGGTGGTCCTGCAATTTCTGGAATGAATGCACAGGAGGACAAATTACCATGAGAAGAGATATTACTAAGAGTGTTAAGTCCGCTTTCATTTTTTGCTTGTCTTCCATAATCACACAGAAATAACCCCCTGGTGAAATGTGAGACAAAATCTATGACATCATCTGAATTTAGTGCCACTGCTCTAAGATAAAACTTGGGGAGGGTTGCCACTTTCATTTTCTTGTCTCCCAGTTATTTTTTCCCATTTTGTTTCTTTTCTTCATTGTAAACCATTCCTTACAACACTGTCAGAATTTGAACAGAATCATCTTTTATCTAATTTTTGATTCGCCGTTTTGTGATATTGTGGTTTATGATAAGCAATATCAATTTGGTCTTCACCCTTAGTTTTGTCATAGAGCTCCTAAAATCCCTAAATTTCCTAAGTGATGAAAGCAAAAAGGCATCCTTTGTTATGTTAATGGGTGACATTTGGACCCCATCTAAGGTCAGGAGCTGGATACCAGGAGAACCAACCATGTGATTAGAGGGTTGGAACTTTCAAGCCCTGCCTTTCCCATGTCTGGGAATGTGGGAAGGCTGATAATGGATTTCAGTCCCCAATGGCCAATGATTCATCCATTGTGCCTATGCAATGAAGCCTCCATAAAACCTCAAAAAGATGGAGTTGAGGAGAATTTAGAGACTGGTGAACAGGTGGAGATTTGGGGAGAGTGGTGTACCCATAGAGTCAGTGGGAGTTCCATGTCCTTTCTCTTTTTGTGCACTTCTTCCATATGGCTTTTCCTGAGTTATATCCTTTTCTAATAAACCAGTGATCTAGTAAGTAAAACATTTTTCTGAATTCTGTGAAGTTTTCTAGCAAATTAATCGAATCCAAGGAGGAGGTTATGGAACCTCCAATGTGTAGTCGAAAGATCAGAAGCATAAGTAGCAACCTGGACTTGTGGCTGGCATCTGAAGTGGTGAGGGAAGCAGTCTTGTGGGACCAATCCCTTACCAGTGAGGATCTGACACTGTATCCAGGTAGACAATGTTAGGATTGAGTTGAGTTGTAGGACACTGAACTGGTATCCAGCACATTGCTTGGATGGATGGGGAAACCTCTGTTCACACAAGCCAGATATCGGGTCCAGGAACCCCAAAACATTACCTTCCTGTACATTTTGTCATAACCAAGCAGCCTTTATATGTACTCTTTAGCAAGATTTTTATAACTTCTTACAAATTTGGTAAGATACCTAAGCAATGGCAGGGGAAATATATTTCTACAAGAAGCACAACCTGGAACATAAACCTGCATAACCTGCTAAAAGCCAGGGACCAGTGAGGGGTTAATGAGGTACCAGCACCTCTTGGAGGCAGTTAATGGCCAAGATGGGCCACTTTTAGGGTGGAGGCAGCCTACACTGCCCATGAAAGCTCAAGATTGAGAAAGACAAGGTATTTGTCCATGGATAACAGGAATATAGAAAAATAAAACCATAGCCTCAGAAAGCCTCTACCTTTCACATCTCTATTTCATAATTCTTGGAATGCTTCTACTTTCCCAGAATTGCTTTCTAATTTTAACCTTGATTCATTTTTGCTTATTTGAGTCACTCTTGTATTTTTCTACAGTCATTCCTCTTATTTGTTTTCCTTTCTGCTGTGAATTTCCTGTATTTCTCTTGCCTCCTCTTCCCTTTCCACTTTTACCTCTTCTTCATCTTATTCTTTGACTTTCTTTTACCCGTTCTTAATTCTTCCTCTCCCACTGATCTGCTGTGGATTTAATCACTGCCAAGCTGCTTTAAAATCACCCAGTGACTGACATTTTCTCCCTGAAAGGAGAGGGATTTGTGACTGTGGAAAACCAACTACAAAGACCCAACACATTCAATTTTCAGTGCAATTCTTTCCTTTCTTCTGTGGTGCTTTTGCCTGGGATTAGAGATGGACCACTTACTGCAACTCACAATGGCAAAGCCCTCCAGGCCTGACTTCTCAGCCCTGTGAGTCACATGGCAACGTGTATCTGAGCCTCTATGTTTACACTGATTGCTAGAATTTTAAAATTGCCCTTCACTAGAAAAAAAACCTACTCAAGTGTTTCCTGGAAAACAAAGCAGTATTATTTCACAGTGTGATGACTGGACTCACGCTTCTCCTTGGACCATTCGTTCTCCCTTCTCTCCCTCCCCTTTCATTTTTTTACAGCATGAAACAAAAACATATAAATAGGTTCCTAGCAGAAGGGTGAAGGGGCTTTATCATCCTGACTGACTCCACCAGAAATAAGATATTTTTACAAAGGGATGAAGAGTAAAATTAGTAAGATAGGTCCATTTTTCAAGACTCCATGATTTTATCATCTGGCATTAGGAAATAGTAGATTGTCACACATACACCAAATTCAGTTGTTTCTGAGAGATTTCACTTTAGCTGTTTGTAATACATAAGTATAAATGACATACGTTTTGATTATTTGAAATCATTCTTTTGGTTCAGTTTGGTCACAAATTCACTTTACCTTTTGGTGTTTCTTGCAGAGCAGAGGCACATACCTCAGTGATGAAGTGCTCAAAGTTCATCTCTGCCATGTAGAAGAATCAGGAAGATAATCATTATCAAAGGATACTTGTGGTCAAAGCCATACCACATTCTGAAGAGCCAGGCACTCTCTGATTTTGTTGTGCTTTTACCCAAATTATTTTCTTCCTGGAGAAGGGACAGTAGAAGAAGTCATTAGAGAAATGATCAATATAAAATACTGACATATAATATCAACATTAATATATAGTATGTATTTAGTATATTTTAACTATATATCAAATTAAACCACTTGAAAAAAAAACTTTCCAGGTAGAGTCATTTTTATCTAAATGGTGAAGCAGCTGCCAAGCAATTAGCTCATAGATCTTGCCATATGGATGAGACTCTTGTGGCATAATTCAACATTTACTTTTCTTAATAATCCCTGTTTTATTAAACAGCTTAGAAATGTCACTTTTTTAGCACCAATAAAAATGATATTTCTGTCAGATTGCTGTTGTGGGAATTTTGTAGTTACTTCTGTCAAATTTGGATGGTATTTATTTATGATTTACCAAAAGGTCAAGACTAAAGGGCTAACAGACTAATCATTGTTAAACTAGTTTTCATTCATTTTCTTTTAGATAGATCACTACCAAATGCTCTGGTTAATTTTTTGATATCTTTCTCCTTCAATTCTGAAGTTTTGAAATAGACATTCTTGTTAAGAAGCCTGTAATAACTGAATGTGTTTATCTCCCAGCCCCCTTGCCTCCCCTCTTTTTTCCAAAAGGACACAGTGGGAGGGATGAAGAAAAGGAATTAAGAAGGTCAAAAAGAAAGCATTTGGTGGGTGTTTATGTAACAGTACAGGATGAAAATGTGAGAACAAGGGGAAAAGGTGAAAATTTTTTGTGAACTTTACAGAGGTAGATGATGAACATTGCAATGTGGTATGAAGGAGATTCAGTGACATTTTATCTTTTTCTTTGTATCCTATTTCTCATATTAAGAAAATTCTGGATTTCAATCAGTTGCAATTATCTCCATCATTAAAAGCATTTATATATTAAAATGGATTTCATTGCTTTGTTTGGACCATTGGTTTCCATCCCCAAATGGTTTCAGGAATTCACAGTCCAGTAGTAAGTGAACATTCGCAAGAAATCAGGATGCATGGAAGACAGTGACAAACCACTGGCTGCTCCAAAGCCAGCCTTAAGATGAATCTAAGTTAATTTGCTTCATTTAATGTATTTACTTTTTATTCCCCTCTCCAGACAGTACCACTGATGGTTAATGATAAATAACTGAACACAAAGGCTGTATTCTGCTCCGAAACACATGTCACAGCAAGTGCTTCAGTTCCATGCCTCACAAACATAATGGGGATGTAAGAAAGCTTAAGTGTGATCCCTTTCTAGGTAGCCATCTAAACTCTGTCTAAAATGATTGAAGCAGAAACTCAACAATAAAATGAAAACCCAAACCGGCAGGCTTTCTCATTGGTTGTTTGAAGATCTCTGATTTCCAACACCAAATAGTTTCCTAAATAGCATTCCTTAGCATGTCACTGTTCTGTGTGATGTTGATGGAAATTCTGTGCTAATGATTCAGGAAAAGGTGGGTTTAAGCATGTTAAACAGGATTGCTATTTACAGAAATTTTTAGAATCTTTCATTTATAAGTGAGCATTGTAAACTTTTGAGAGGGAAGCTTTTCTCAAACTTACCTGACCACATGCCCCATCCCCAAGCTCCTCAGTGGGACATCCATGATCTTTCCATGGATGTTTGAGTTTCATAGATCTGTTTTCTGATACACCTGGAATGCCATGCCCTGTTATCTAGAGTTAGAATTTATTCATTACATTTCCACTAAAAGGAAACCAGGGTGTCCAGTTCAATTTCCATTCTTCCCTAAACCTTTCTCTAGCTATTTCTACCCTGCAAAAGGTGTCAGATTGGCAAAGTTGCTGCTATACTTAGTGTTTTCTTCATCATCTTGCAACATTTGCAAGTTGTTTCTGAGTCACCATCTCTCAAACAGGTGAGCAGCTGGGGCACAGCTGGGAGAGTAAAACTGTTCTCCTTAAACTAAACTAGGCAGAAAAGCTCTGGGCCAACACTGGAGTTCTTGCTTTCTTTCTTTCTTTTTTAAGAGCAATAGGAGTTACAAATTTAGTCCATCAAGAGGCATAGTTAATTTTGATAGCTAGTAACATCTACTGATGACAAGATAGTCATTGAAGAAAACTGATAGAAAAGAGTTAAGCAAATTTCTGTTTTTTTGTCTCGTTGTTTGTTACTAAGTTAAGGTGGGCTGTGAAGTGGTGAGCTTAGCTGGCAGTCAGGGGCCCAGGCTTCTAGCCCCCACTCTGCAGTAGCCTAATTGAATGACATTTGCTGTAATAGTCCTCAGCTATGGAATGCTCATTAATTCCTAGGCAGTGTGTTGGTCACATTATCTGGTCATTAACTTTTTCAGTCATTATTTTTCAGTTTTCACAGCAATCCATCAGTGTAAGTTGTGTTATACCTATTTTACAAGTGAGGATCTAGCGAGACTCAAAGAGAAGAGGTGAGTCCAAAGTCACACAGCGAGCAAGCTACAGAGCTGCAATTTGAATGTACGACTAATGGATTCCAAAGATGATGTTTTAACAGAAACAGACTCACAAACTTAGAGAACAAATTTTTGGTTGCCAGGGGGAAGGAGTGGGGAAGGGATAGTTAGGAAGTTTGGGATCAACATGTACACATTGCTACATATAAAATGCATAACCAATAAGGACCTACTGTATAGCACAGGAAAATCTGCTCAATTTTATGGGGCAGCCTGGATGGGAGAGAAGTTTAGGGGAGAATGGATACATGTATATGTATGACAATATCCTTTGCTGTCCATCTAAAACTATCACAGCATTTTTAATAGTCTATACTCCAATACAAAATAAAAAGTTAATAAAAAACAAAGATGATGTTCTTTCTGCTGGTCTCTCACTCAGCCTTTACATTTTGAAAAGAATGTACATTGCTTGATAAGCTATTTGGGTTGCAGTCTCCTTGTCTGTAAAATGAATTGAGGAAATTAGATTGACTGGTTTCTGAGGTCCTAACCATATGGAAAATACTGTATTATCATTAATGACAGCAACAATAATAGCTGACACTTCTTGAACAGATACCATGTACCAGACACTATTCAAAGTTCTTCTTGTATATTATTATTCCCATTTTACAGATGAGGAAACTGAGGCAACTGTGGCACAGAGCCGTTTCCAACCACACTTGTGGCTTCTCAGCAGCAGCCAAGATTCCTATCATGGGGCCCTGGGGTTAGTGAAGAGCAAACTAGAGCAAATGTCTCAACCCAAGGTTGAGACAGAGCAGCTGTATATACCCCTAAACATAATGAAAATACATGGCTCCTCTCAGGTGGCTGAACCACTGACAAGTCAGAAAGTATCTGTATGGAAACTTAACTTCAGTGTTATAAATTTCTCTAGACTCCTAAATACTGGTTTCAGGGGTTTCTCAGGGTTTTAGAAACCTTCCCTGCCTTTAACTCCCATTTCCATCTCCTTTTCATTTTATTTTATCTCCTGAGGGGAATATATCAGAACTTACAAATGCTCCTGAAAGAGTTTATAATCTATTTCTGGCAAATCTTCCAGAACTATTTTTTTTTTTTTTTTGCCAGCTGATGAGAGCAACACATACTAGATGGTATTTTGGGGAAAATGTTAACACTTGTAATCTATTTTTCAAACTTTAATTTACTTGGGATACTGGAGATGTTACTCATTTCACTACTTTGTTGAGAAATAAACTGGGTTTCCATTAGAATAAAATATAGAACATGTATTTCCAGGTAAGGAAAATACCACTGAGGACCCAGCATTGACTTTTTCTGCTGATCTGAGATAAAATGTTCAGTGTATGTCTTAAATATCTGTTGGCCCAGTTCTGGATTCATTCATTTATTTCTCTGAAGTTATTGATGACTTAATAACTTGGTTATGAAAGGCCATCAATAAATGAGGAAAAATAAATGAGTTAGTCCACTATGTGCTCTGCTTGTTCACTGGGGGTTGAAGATAAATGTTCCAAGGGAAGGCCAGCCTTTGCAGCCACCCAGGAACATGGGAAGTATCTGATGAGGCAGCACGGAGGGCAAGCCCCTGAGGGGGCTCAGATGGGCAGAGGACAGCAGGTAGCATCAATTTACCTAGATTATTCTGAAGCTGAGATCAGATCACACCCCAGGACAATGGATGTGAGCTGTCATCAGAAAAATCTGGAACATGGTGATATTTTCTTTATTGCTAGCAATACATCTTCTCATCTGAGTTCTTGGATGCCAGAGAGGAAGTGGCACACATGTTGGAAAAAGCAGAGGATCCAGAAACTGAAGATAAAGATTTGAGTTCTCTCGACTGTCTCCCATTCAATAATAATGATACACTTTCCAACCCTGAATCTCATGTTTCACAGCTGTAAATGGGAACTGGAGATTCAAGGGCATTGAATCTTAGCTTTTATTTGCCCTTGATACTTCTAAGAGGCAGAGTGTTTGATATATGTGCAATTTCGGGTTCCTTTATTATCCTCTATTTCTGGGAAAATGTACAAATGACCGGGGCATTTGATGTCTTTCCTTTTTCTCCTTAAACAAGGGAATAGATCAGAGGGTGGGAAGTGGCAGAGCGCAGTAGGGAGTGAGTAGTTGTCTTTTAAGTGATCCCTCTAGCAACACCCTAGAGAGGGAGCAAGAGGAAAATTATGAAGGTACTCTTTGTTTTATGCTTATTTGGACCCCTGAGAGAAAACAAAAGGCTCTGGCAAGAAATCTTTGAAAACCAGACCCTGAAGCAAGAGGGGATTGTTTGTTGTATTAACCTTAGTGAGAAAGAACTAAGCCAATGTAAATACATTCCTCTATCAACATTCGAATGAGGAACCTTTGCTAAGTGAACCAGATGAACCTCTGCTCTGGGCTAATCATATGGGATTGCTCCTCACTTAATGGGGATTCGGTGGATTAAGAGAGAGAAGATTTTCCTTTCTATTTCTCAAGATTTCATATTCAATACTAAAGTCAATGGAGGTTGTAAAGAATAATGAAAATGACAGGTAATTATCATAATAAGTCTGTAGGGTTCCTTATGGTTCCAGAGCACTTTT